AAAATATCTCGGAATTTCAACTCAACTGTAGATTGAAACTTGTTTACCGGAAAAATGCATTTACAACTTAAAGAAATTTAAATTTTCATTTGAAATTCCTACAATAAACTTTTAACATCCTTAACTTGTAAAATATGTGAACAAATAAATTTTTTTAAACCGTAACACTAGACTGACAACTTACACAGCATACTTTATGTTATTTTTGAGCCACGTTTTTAATACATGTTAAAAAAGTATTTTCTAGCAAGTTCTTTACGTTGGATTTCATGTTAGATAATTTGTTTATGTCTGAAATGCTAGCTACATATTCAAAATCAAAGTATAAGACGTTATGTTAATTATTGTAAAGTAAAAAAAATTGAAAATAAAGCTGTAAAAAAGAGGTTTAGAAACAATATTTTAAAAGCACCCCAAAGGGAACAGAAATTACTACGTCCCCGCCATTGTTCCTGGGTAACGCTAAAAGTAAAAGTATGAAAACTTCCGCTCTTTCAATTGCCGACGACAAATGAGGTTTTTAGAAAAAAAATTTTTACCTTGAAATAACCTTGAAGGACACCAACAAGGTCGAGTTTGAGGTCACCACTAATTGCAATTAAACAAAATAACTAAAGTAAGCTATTTTCATCAACTGCGTTCTTCGAAGATATCCAGTCCTCAAAATTAAATAACCTTTGAATGACCTTCAAGGTCAACCACGATTTATGGCCTTATAATGTTTTTGGACGTAAAATTTCCCGCTCTTTCGATTGCCGACGTCAAAAAAGGGGGTTTCCATTTAAAAAAATTGAGCTGACCTTGAAATAACCTTCAAGGTCATCGTCAAGGTCAAATCCAAGGTCACCATTGAATTCCTCGTCAAAAGTTACTACAAGAGTGACCTTAACATTTTTCAAAAATAATTTACCTGGGAAATTATTCAGGTGTTTCCAGACTTTTTGGACACCCTGTATATATAACCCTGTATGCGTGTGTATGTGTGTGTGTGTACATACATATATATATATATATATATATATATATATATATATATATATATATATATA